CCTTGATTTCGCTCTCAAATCCTCGTTACAAGTATTGGAAGTGTAATCGAATCGAACTACTCATGAATTACGGTCGACAACTTGGTTGGCCAAGTTTGGAATTGAAATTGAACTACTCAATAGGATTATCGAGTCGAGTTCAAATCCAATTTAGTTAGGCTCGAAGGCTATTCAAGCATATTTAGCAATTTAATAGTATATTATTATTTTGAAATTAAGACCCATCACTTGTGGCACATTTTACACCATACTTCATTCCGTTTGCAATGTTTGGAAGGGTGTTAATGTCCTCTCGCGGGTTTAGGAAATCAAAGAATTCAAACTTTGAACAAATCCCGGTATTTCTCAGAACAGTGTGGGGCTGAGCTAGCCCGACTAAGCCCAACCTGGCCCATGTTCCAGCAAACTATGAATTTTTCCTATATTTGTCCCAGGTCACATTCAAAGTGGCCTGAAAAATATTTTCTTTGAGAAAGAACGCATGAGATTTTAACGAAAAGATATCAAGTCATATTGCATTGACACACCAATTTTTCCGTCAGTATGAAACATTCATCACAAACTCTTTTAAATTTTTAAGTACCTATGATATGGAGACTTCTAAAATAATTATATACAAAATGAATTCTAAAATAATTATAGCTAGACAATGACAGGGTAGAGGCTACGGCGAGAAGAAAGAAAACATGGAGTCCAAAATTGGAAACTTTTCATGGCCCAAGTTAGGCCCATTCTTTTGCGTCTCCTAACAGCTTTAGGCCAACCCAGATTGGGCGCTAGCCTGCTGCCTGCTTCTATTGGGTCAAAAGCGTTCTAGTCTGCTTACTTCATAAGCAACCAGTTGAAGAAGAAGTTCCTTGAGACGCTGCTTCATCCACGCGGCCCCCACAGCGCATCCCACTGTACTTGGATCTACGCCACCTGGTAACCGCCCATAATTAACCCATTCCCCGGCGCCGGCTGCCCATATATAAACCCCATCAGCCCACGCCTGGGCCCCGATCTTCCCATCCCCAATTTCAAATTTCGAATTGCCGGATCTCATTTGCTTCCTTCCAAATTGTTCATTTGACGTAACATAACAATTCATAATCCTCTCGCTTTCTCCGCATCAATTCTTTGGAAGAACGCTCAGCTGTAAAATTTCTCTTCATTTCGTTCGAGTTTTTACATTTTAGCAATGGGCGCTTCGCAGAGCAGAGAAGGTCTCGAACTCTCCGACTCCGAGTCGGAGTACGACGACGATGATAAGGGGGAAGAAGAAAGCGAAGACCAATACGAAGACGCTGCTGCAGCGGATCGAACTCCGTCTAAGACCTCATCGTCCCGCAGCGGATCAATAACACTAGACGAAGTTGATTCGAGGCTTAAGTCCCTGAAACTCAAGTACCCAGCTTCAGCCCCTTCCCCGGTTTCTGAAAACGCCGTAAAGCTTTACCTCCACATCGGAGGAAACACGCCCAAAGCCAAATGGGTAGTCTCTGATAAGCTTACTTTCTATAAGTTTATTAAGACATCGAAAATTGACAAGAGTGGTGGTGACCATGAGGAGGATTGGGAGGAGGAATCTGAGGGCGAGGGGTTTTGGGTTTTGAAGGTGGGGAAGAAAGTGAGGGCTAGGGTTTCTACCGATATGCAATTGAAGTTTTTCGGCGAGCAGAGGAGGGTTGATTTTGTGGATCATGGGGTTTGGGCTTTGAAATTTTTGGCTGATGAGGAGTATAGAGCTTTTGTCACTAAGTTTCAGGACTGCCTGTTTGAAAATGTGTATGGATTGAGGGCGACGGAAGACAATAAACTGAAGGTGTATGGAAAGGAGTTCATTGGGTGGGTTAAGCCAGAAGAATCGGACGATGCAATGTGGGAGGATGCTGATGAGGGCGTCTGGAAGAGTCCAAAGGACAGCCCTGCAGTGGTTAGGGAGAGTCAGGACTTGCTGGAGGAATTTGAGGAGGCTGCTTCCGATGGTGGGATACAGAGCTTGTCCTTGGGGGCTCTTGATAATAGTTTTCTGGTGGGTGATTCGGGTGTTCAGGTGGTTAAAAATTTTAGCCATGGGATTCATGGTAAAGGTGTTTATGTCAAGTTTGATAACGGTGGAAAGAGGGGGAGTTTGAGTATGGGGCATTCAACTCCTAAAAAATCACTTTTAATGAGAGGTGAGACAAATATGTTGCTCATGAGTCCCTTGAAGGATGGGAAGCCTCGTTCGACCGGGCTTCATCAATTGGATATTGAGACTGGAAAAATTGTTACAGAGTGGAAGTTTGCAAAGGATGGTGCTGATATTACCATGAGGGACATTACTAATGATACAAAAGGCTCACAGTTGGATCCTTCTGAGTCAACATTCTTGGGATTGGACGATAATAGGTTGTGTCAATGGGATATGCGTGATAGGAGGGGGATGGTTCAGAACATAGCCAGTGCTGATTCACCAGTCTTGAATTGGTCTCAGGGGCATCAGTTTTCTAGAGGGACAAACTTTCAGTGCTTTGCAACTGCTGGTGATGGTTCAATTGTAGTTGGTTCACTTGATGGGAAGATTCGTTTATATTCTAGAACATCAATGAGGCAGGCGAAGACTGCCTTCCCTGGGCTTGGTTCACCTATAACCCATGTTGATGTCACTTATGATGGAAAGTGGATATTGGGCACAACTGATACCTATTTGATTTTGATATGCACTTTGTTTACGGATAAGGATGGCAAGACCAAAACAGCTTTTAGTGGTCGAGCTGGAAATAAAATCCCTGCGCCAAGATTATTGAAGCTGACTCCTGTGGATTCGCATATGGCTGGAGCAGATAATAAGTTTCATGGTGGCCATTTCTCATGGGTATGCTACTTGGCTGTTCTTCATGTTTTGTTAATGTTGCTTAGGTCATTTTATTTGTTGACTTACTTTGTTGATATGGTGGTCCAGTTTTGCTACTTATGTACTTTTGTAGGTTTAACTGATTGATATGAATTGCTTCTTTACTTCACTGGTGTCGGACAAATGAATCTTCTGTTGTATGAAGGAGTTTAATCAGCTTTTGTACCTCTTTTTTATATTGAATCATCATGTTTTCTTTATGCAAAAATGTAAATTCAGTTATCTCAAGTATTTAATTGGTGGATGCAGAAATCTGAATTTAGTTATATTAGGTATTGAGATGGCAGAAACTGTAGCCACTCCAAATCTAGCTTGCCAGGAGGGGAAGTCTTGCCTAGACAGGCTTACCACAACCTAATGATCTTCTATGGCCTATGTTTTTGGGTTTGTTTGAATGCCGCCAGCTCATGACTTCTTACTCAAGCTTTTATATACCTGGTGTATTGGTCAGCTAGCTTTTGTAAATATGGCTTGTTGGTAGATAGCTTGCTGAATGTTCACTGGAATGTTCTCTGTCTTAACATTGACGTGGAAAATACTTGAGGAAATATAAACTAGTTTCTTAACAGAAAATGGTTGAGCTGTTGTGGACGGAGATCAGAATAATGGTTAGAATTGGAGGTACATCACTTTTTTCTAAGGCGGCCTTGTCTCTTATAGCTGTCATAGTGGATTTTTGAACTTCTTCTTTTCCTTTATTTTGTTGGAGAATAGCATAATTCTTGATGTTCAAGCTCAATTGAGGAAGATGATGATATTTTTAGGTATGTGATTTCATTGAAACCAACACTACTATCATAAGTTCTTCCGGACTAAAGTGCTGTGATTGATTGAGAGCTGAAATTAGTGATTTGCAGCTTGCTTGTTTTCTAATTGGCTGCTGAAATAATCCTTCTGATGTAATCAGGGGGTTACTTTGGCATTCAGTCTCTCATTGTTTCTTTACAGCTGTAAATGTAGGCTTTCTTCCATGCAAGCTGTTTCTTTTCTAATAGGCTACTCATGAATTGTGATGTGATTATCAAGACTCATCTGCACATTATGCAGATTTCCAGCTCCTGTTTCCCTTTTCTTGTCCTGTTGTCACTCTAATAACAGATTTCGTTGGAGATATCATTTGTCATTATTAACTTTAATTAGAATTTTTGGTCTTGAACATCTTTTGCAATACATGCTTAAATTGTTCCTTTTTGTAGCTTTTCCACTTCCTGCTTGGAATGTGATCAGCGTTGTAGACTTACCCAGTTGTGTATTAATATACAAGCATGATTAGTTGAAGCACATTATTTGATAGTAGGAGTTGGACATAAAGATACAAGTTTAGTTGATTGTTAATTAGGTTTTACATTTATTTGAATCTGACGGAGGCATTAATATATTGAAATATTTTTATTGATATAATTATAGATAACCTTATGTTGATTATTTTCCTATCAGGTAACTGAAAGTGGCAAGCAGGAACGCCATTTGGTTGCTACAGTTGGAAAATTCAGTGTCATATGGAATTTCCAGCAGGTGAAGAATAGTGCACATCACTGCTACCAGAATCAGCAAGGGCTTAAGAGCTGTTACTGCTACAAGATAGTACTGAAGGATGAATCCATTGTCGAAAGCCGATTTATGCATGACAAATTTGCTGTTAGCAACTCTCCAGAGGCTCCACTTGTTGTGGCAACTCCAATGAAGGTTACTTCCTTCAGCATGTCTGGCAAGCGGTGACCTCATGGATTTGGAGAGTCCTGTGTAAATGAAGATCTGCTAGCTCAATTTCTGTTTATTCTTGTAACACTGATTTTTTCAGTGCGTTATTTTTATTTGAAGTCACCGTTTTTTTTTTTCCTCGTGTAGAGGTTTTTCCTTTTTTTTTTTTTCTTGTGAATATTAGTGGCAGGTGAAACTTTTTGGCTATGTTGCCATTGTAGTGCTTTGAAGCCAGGTTAATTACCTGTTTATTTTTTATTTTTAAGCAATGCTTGTCTTCGGTGCAAGTCTTTGAGGCACTAGTTATGGAAGTGGAATGAAAATCTTAAACACCAGGTTATTGATATTGGTCTTCAGCGGTGACTCATCTTTCCTACAGCTTTTGAATTCACTTTCTTGAGATCAAATGTTGAGCAGGTAGCAGTCAAAAATATCGAGTAGAGACTAGACACAGTAATCAAAAAACAATTTATCGCCATTTACACTTTATAGTACCCCGTTTTCACAATCAAACAAAGCAGCATAAGTAGACATGATATGGGGCAGTCTTGGATCTTCAGCGACAAACTCGTCCGAGAATTCGCTACTCAGGCCAAGTTACACCATCAGGAACTGAATCAGAAATTGCGTCTTAATATTGTAAAAAGTTGTACGAGTGATGGTCAAGGAAAGTCAGAAGTCCTCTGAAGTGTGGCAACAAGGAGCGAAAAAGTGAAGAGGAGAAGTCCTTTGAAGTTGGCAGCAAATTCCTGCTTCACATTGCGTCTCGGGCAGCGATCCTGCAAGTTATGGCTTCAGCAAGCGAAGATATCTCCAACTCCAAGCTTGATATTTTGTAGTGCTGAGCAAGGCATATCAAGCCAAAGATGTAGCACAAAGTCAGATGATATAAAATGCTTCAACAGACCATTCAACTGGTAAATCAATTAGAAAATAAAGAAAAAGTAAAAACCTTCTGTATTTGGGATTGATTTGCATTTCCTTCCAAATCATCTAAATCGATTTCTCTTCCTTCTATCAGTTTCTCTATGGCTGTCATCTGGTAGACAACATGAGAGTTCACGTTTATTTTACGAGCACCACCCCCCGAAGAGTAAAAACATACCAAAGGGTCATGCAATGCAGCCTTTTCCAATCATTCACAACACACACCGCTTACCTCATCAGCAGAAGCACTGAACCGAGCCACAAGGATATAGGTTGAACTTTCAGAGATGCCACATCTTTTTAAGGATTCTGAGATCTGGTCAGAGTAGAATGTTGTCAACCAGAAAAGAAGGAACAAAATATAGGGAAGGATCGGTTAAACTAAAAACCTTCTTACATGCTTAGAACCTGAATAATTATAGACAAGCTCAGAATGCAGAGTCCGTGTTGTTAATGACTGCCTTGATTTAGCTGCAAGCGTCTTGTGTGCAGCAGCCAGAACAGGGAAAACATCTGGGATCTGTTTCATAGTCGAATAAGAAAAAATTATTACCACTTCAAAATAGAGAAGAAAATAGGAAGGTACTAATTAATAAGGTAGGTAGCAGATGCTGACAAGTAATGCATTCAGCAATGCTACTTCTGGTTCCAAAGTTCCACCTTGCATTGAATCCAGGAGTTCCCTGTAAAACAAATAAAGCATGTTAATGCACTTATATCCTCAATGACTATATGTTATTTTGAACTTTTCAAGATGGAAAGTAATATTTAGAAGTTTATTGTGTTGATGAAAGAAGATAACCAGGACTGTACGAGTTAGAAGTACACACACCCGCACACACAAACACACACTAGCACAGGGCAGGATAGCTGCTGGCCTGGGATTCCACTGCCAATGTGAATATTCAAATCAAATACCTCCTCAGTAAATTTCACCACGCGTTAGGTATCTAAGTAACTAGATTCATCAAATACACAACCAGGACATGAGGACAATATTCTAGATATAGCAATATCGACAACAGTAAAATAACTGATAAATGGGAAACATAACAAGGAAACATAACAGGACTTGAGGACAATATTCTAGAAATAACTGACATTGCTCTTCATCTGAATAAGGCTAATCTTTTTCTTTCCCGCAACATGTGGAATACTTTGACAATCAGATAATGCACCTTTAACTTCCTCGTCTCACCCCATAGCAGCTATAGCCCATAATTGCACAATGAAACCTTTTGTAAGTGTTCCGGTTTCTAGACAGCGGAACTCCCTTAACAAAACTTAGCTCGTGGTACACCGTAAAATACAATGCACACGCACTAAAGAAATAACTAGAGCAGCACAATTGATAAAAGCAATTCCAGGAAAACAGAAAGATCCATAAGACCTTTACCAGGGAGATGTAGAACCACTTTAGGGTCGATAGTGCATTTTATAAAATCATTTTACTTCGTTCAGAAGCAATTTGTTTTCCAATTAAACTTTTACACGGCATTGCCAATTACCCGGAAAATGTAAACATAATACTTCTTCATCTAGATTCAGTCCAAGTCTCTCTCTATCTCACTCTCTCTCTTAAATAAACGTCCTCGAATTTTCACAGTATACATGCATTTTGACTCTTCACACTATGATCAGAAACCTATTATAGATAACGAATTTTGTGTGGTAAATTAGCTTCTAACCTAGTTGGCCTTCAACAATGATAGCTGCACAGAATTTGAAATTGCCATAACTTTCATATCCAAGGGCTAGTTCTATTCACTTTTAATTGTTGAAAAGAAACAACTTTTAGTAGTATTTTTTTCTTCCCAAACAAAAGGAAAAAGTAAAAGGAGAGACTCGGGAAATCTCCCAGAAATAAATTCAATTCATTCCCTAAAAGGGAGAAGCAGAGAAATAGTAATTACTTGGAGTTGGTGACGTCGACGAAGAGGGCAAGACAGAGGGTGGATCCATTAACCTCGAACACCTTCATCGTTGGCTAAAATAAAGAGCAGAATTGTAGGTTTCTTAAAGGAGAAAAGGTTAGGTTTAAGTTTTCTGGGATTTGGCAGAAAGGAAGTTAGGGAGTTTAGGATAGGAAAGAGAAGAAGGGTAAGGGCTTTAGAGTTTAGACTTTGGCTTGGAAGGAAGACGACAAAAAGGGTTAAGACGAACAGTAAACAGTCGCGCGCCAGGTAGGGGTCGAACCTACGACTTTCTGCTTAGGAAACAGACGCTCTATCCACTGAGCTACAGGCGCTTGTTGGCTATGGGAGGAACTTCTTTCTTTAATTATTAGTTTGTCAAATTCCCAAATGGTTCCTGCCCGAAATGGTTTTATTTTATCACCTTGGTTCAATTAAAAAGCTCTCTCGACATGCTATTGGGTTGAGTCACAGCGTTGACTAACATGAAATGTTCTCTCGACCAGTTTAATTGGCTTATTGAGTTGAATTGAGGCAGGGCTCGGCTAATTTTTTTTTTTTTTTTTTGTCAATTCAGGAGTATCTCAACTTTGTCAGACTAATCTCCCTGAATCTAGAGTACCTCGCCCCCCAAGAACACCCAGACGATATGTGAAGTCAGACTTGAACGGCGCCCCACGAGGAATATCTCAAGGATTTATCAGCTGAGCTGACCCCGAGGGGCAGGGCTCGACTAATTTGATACTCCTATTTTCAACTTTTGTGCATAACCTTCTGCATGAATTTGAGAAATTAAGTAATGCTCCAATGGAATTCATATTTGATATTAGTTACTTTAGGAATCAATTTGGAAATCACATTCACTTGTACGTTGGAAATATGCTAAGAAATAATAAGGAGAGTACCGTCCCTATTGTAATTTAAGGATATGTTACTCACTCCTTGGGGTCCAAGTGTCGAGCAATCTCGTCGTGAAAAGTATCATGAGTACTCCATTATTATCAGAAATAACACACAAAATAATCCAAAGAGTTCAGTTCAAAGAATATTTATTCTTCATTTTTCAAAAGACGGTGAATTTAATTTCATATTGATGAATTTCATCAAGCAATTGACGAAGTCAACTTACGTAACATGAAAATTAATAATGGTAAAGCATGTAACCAATGTTTATGTGAACAATTATTATTTATTTGTTTATTTTTACCTTCCTATCCTTCCTACAAAAGACCATTAGACATAGGATTTGAATTCTGAATTTGATATGAGAGAGAACTCTAAGAGCCCTCTTCTAACTACCGGATCAACTCCAAAGTTAGCAAACACTTAAATTTTGCTTAATGTGTATTCAAGTAGGGTTGCAAACGAGCCGAGTCGAGTTGAGCTTTGAGCTAATCGAGCCGAGCCTTGGTTAAATTTTATCAAGCTCGAGCTCGAGCTCGAGCTCGACGAGCTGGCAATTTTCGAGCTCGAGCTCGACTCGAATCAAGTCGAGCCGAGCTCGAGCTCGAGCTCGAAAAAAATAAAAAAAAATTATTTTATTTTTAAAAAAAATAAATAAAATATATATTTTTTTCTGAATAAATAATAAAATATTAAGGATATATCCGTAATTTCACTATGAAAATAAAAAATAAAAAATATATATATAATATACGTAATTTTATTATTAAATAAAAATAAAAATAAAAATAATATATATATATACTCAAGCTCGCGAGTCGGCTCGCGAGCTAACGAGCTTAATATTCTGAGCTCGAGTTCGAGCTCGATTAATGTCGAGCTCGACTCGAGCCGCTCGCGAGCGGCTCGATTCGTTTGCAGCCCTATATTCAAGTCATTTAACTCCAAGGGAGGGTTGGGTTGGGTTGGGTGGTACGGGGGGAGGGAGTGTAAGCAAGTGGTCTCGGGTTCGAGTCCTCCCACTTACACAAAAAAAAAAAAAACTTTAAAAAAAAAATAATAAAAAAAAAGTCATTTAACTCCAAAAGAAAAATAAAAAAATTGTTCATATAACTAATTAAAAATCAAACAATTCTAGTGATATTATCATAATTTGTTTGTCTTGAAAAAAAGAAAAAAAAAGTAATTAGAAGTACCGATATTGTATATACCATTCAAAATATTTGGTACTTTTATAAAATTATTGCACATTTGGTCAAATCTTTATTTTTTTAATGTTAATTTTTAATAATTCTTTAATTAATTGTTCTTAAAACTTTTATTTTAAATTGAAAGAGACTGAATGTATTCTCATTTGTTAAAAATTCTCTGAAGATTTTATATGAATTTATAGATACAATTTGTGAACCTTTTTTTTTTGCTTTTAAAATAATGGATTTTAGAACAATTAATTAAAGAAGATGAAATATTGAATACAAAAGAAAAAAGAAAAAATGTAAATATTAAATTTGTTAAAAAATTTCACAAATAAAATTTAATATATAAGATATTTTATATTTTATACTATTATAATCACATGCAAAGTACGTAAGTGGTATATTAAAATCATAAGTAAGTATTACAGAAAGCCGATCCGTCTATTTTCATGCAGAGCCATTGATACTGCATGTCCATTTTCGGACCCTTTCCAGCATTTCCTTCCGACTTTGGAATTCATTCTCTGGGAGTTCTGTTCCCGGAGATTCCAATCCGATCCACCAGTGCTCCACAATGTCCATCTCCGTCTTCCTCCTTTGGCTTGTTAGCGTCCCTCTCTTAGTCCAGGGAAATGCCATCATTAGATCAGTGGCTGGAAGACACGCACAACCCAAACCTCAGGTTAAAGGTAAAGGAGGACATTGTCCCCATTCATAATTCTTTCCCTATTATTGGGTCTCCGTTTTTATTATTTTTTCGGTTACCCTTTAATTTTGCAGCTTAAAGGTTTTGACATTGTAGATAAGACAAAGTTTGCTTGTGAATTATGCAGTTAATCGACCTCTATTTTCTAATGCAGATTACTTTGTAAACTGTGGGTCAAATGAAGATGTGGATAGTTGGGAGCTTAAATACCTCGCGGACGATGCCTTCATATCACCTCAAGGCACAAAAACAGCAACCATAAATCAAACCGATGTATTGCCTATATTATCTACATTAAGGTATATTCCAGACAAGACAACCAAGAAGAAATGTTACAAGTTTCAAGCGTTAAAAGGAGGAAAGTATCTGGTGAAATCAATATTCTATTATGGAAATTTTGATGGAGGGACTAATCCACCAGTCTTTGATCTGATCATTGAGGGCACTAAATGGAGCACTGTGAATACCACGCAGGATTATCTAAACGGGCTTGCTTCGTTCTATGAGATCATTGTCACGGCTCGTGATGAAAAATTGAGTGTCTGTCTTGCATGGAACGATCACACAGTGTCAAGTCCGTTTATCTCAGCTCTTCAAGTGCACTCCTTGAATGATTTGATGTATGATGGTACTAATTTCGATAAGTATGCACTGATGACTGTTGCTCGACACAGCTTTGCAGCTCATGGAGAAACAATTGGGTACGTAATTAAGAAGCTTTGGCATAAGTCGATTGGTTTCTTGCAGCTAATTAAGTTTCGTTTTTTGATATATGATGGTGGTATATATGTGGATATTTCTGCCTTCGAAATGGTACACACAAGTTTTTCAGGTCTATAAATGAATGAAACTTCCATCTGTAACATAGCACAAACTACATTTTTTGATGACAAAAATAGAAGATATCGTGAGCCAATTGAAAATGCAAAGTGAGAGAAGGTTGTGTTGACCAAATGTCCTTTGCGAATTGCGATATCATTCTATGCTCATGAGTTCTTTTCTTTTCTTTTCTTCCACCTTGATATCTGATATTGAATTTTTCTACACTTCTAATTATGAATATTGAACATATCGAACTAGTTTTCCAGATGATAAATTTGGTCGGTACTGGTATCCATTTATCGACAATAATCCTGTTGCATCAAGTCACTCCAACGTGACTCCTTCAGTATTTTTCAACAATCCACCGGCGAAGATATTTGAAACGGCAATCACAACCAACAGAGGAAAGAGTCTCCAAGTCATGTGGCCACCATATTCAGTTCCTGCCAGCCGCTATTACATTGCACTATACCTTCAAGACTCTAGGGCCCCTAGTCCATATAGCTGGGGAGTTTTTGATATTCAAATCAATGGCGAAACTTTCTATCGCCAACTGAATGTCACCACTAGTGGCGCAATGGTATTCAGCACATTTTGGCCCCTGAACGGGACAACTACAATTACCCTGACTCCCAGGAGTGACATTCCTGTCGGGCCTCTGATCAATGCTGCCGAGGCTTTTCAGCTTTTAGCTCTTGAAGAAAGGACTGCAGCTAGGGATGGTAATTTAAAAACTTTCTTTGTTTTTTCATTTAGTTAATACTAGTAGAATAATTCCTACCAATAATACTCTTGATACTTTTACTTTTTTCCAAAACTTACTCTCAGATTCTTGGTATTGTATCAGTGATTGTAATGGATGACATCGTAAGAAGCATTCAACACCTACCCCTGGACTGGGAAGGTGATCCATGCGTGCCTAGAGGAAATGCTTGGACAGGAGTCACCTGCAGACACAGACTAACTACTCACATTGTCTCGTTGTAAGTACATCCAATATTAGGCCGAGCAAACAGCTCCAACTTTTTATATTAACCCATGTTAATTCTTGTGCTGTACATTCTTTGTATGAATGAAGAAACCTGACTGGTCTTGGAGTATTAACCGGAACACTACCAAAGAGTTTATCCAATTTATCTGCTCTTCATCATCTGTAAGTGCTGTCAATCTTCCACTCTATCACGCTCTCGGCTTCTTGTATTTTTCTCGATTTTTGTTTGATGCAACACACAGTCTCTTCATCTACTGGTGACCTTTCAATCATACGACTGCTCATCTGCAGTTGGCTTGGGGGTAACTCACTCACAGGTTCAATACCTGATTTGAGCCCATTGATGGCCCTGGAAACTTTGTAAGCTCCTGCACCTTTTTTTTTTTAGTTCAGATTTTTGAATGACCAGTTAATTAGTTACAGGAATAACTGGACTTATTTTATTTCTCTTCCTGGCAAGAAAAGGCACTTGGAAAACAACCAATTTGAGGGTCCTATCCCTGAATCACTTGGACATCTCCCAAAGCTGAGAG